TGGAGATGAATCTCTAACAAATGGCCGAAGCAAAGATATTTACCTTATCCCCCCGCGTGGCAGGATGTGGCACAAGGCCGTTTTTAATGCGGGGTCAAAACCGAGCCTGTAGGCTCGGGCAAAAAATTCCCTGTAGATCCCTGTAGATACACGGGGTTGGGTAGCCGTCTACCATCCCAGACGAGACTCTGCCTTTCGGCATAGCCTCGTCTGGGCTCCTCCCTGCCCGAAATCTGAGAGTTCGACCAGCTCATCTGGAGACGAATCTCCAACTAATTGCCGAAGCAAAGATATTTGCCAACCGCCCCACGCGGTTAGATGTGGCACAAGGCCGAATTTAACGTGTGGTATTCGAGCCCGTAGGCTCAGGCAAAAATTCCCCGTAGACCCCTTAAAAAAACGGTGTCTGGTTGCTGTCTACCACCTCAGACAAGCTCTGCACTTCGGCATAGCCTCTTCTGGGTTCCTCTCTGCCCGAAGGCTGAGAGTTCGACTAACTTAGCTGGAGACGAATCTCCAACTAATTGCCGAAGCAAAACCCTAAGTATATCCTGTGCTCACTATGTATATCTACTTATATAGACAGAACAAACAACATTCATACAAGAAGCAATAACAAACAAGACATTGCTATGGTTTTAAAACACGGTAATTAATCTATTTATTCAGCATGTCTCTCTTACAACAACTGAAGTAAAAAGAGGGAAGATTAACAAAAAAAGGTCCATGCGCCCTCTACAACTTGAAAAATAAATGCCCAAGGTTCAAGGGAAATAACTAATCCCTTATTTATTAATTCTTTTTTATTTTAAATATTATCTACAAAGTGTGCAATTTTCAAAAGGAAGAAACGGATTTATACCTTTCCCAAGGGTATTTGTGCGTAAATGACCGTAACGAACTAGACTGGAATTTGAACTCGGCTCTCCAATTTCTCAATCTGAGCCATTATCCATTACATCCGACGAACAAAATCAGTGTCGATGTCTTGTAATGATTTTCTTACCTTCACGAAAAAGTCTTAACTCAATGACACCTATTCATTGTTTCTTAGTAGCATCGTATTATTTGGGGCAGGGTTGGTACTTTGCATACGCTAAATGACACATAACAACTATCTGTGCTCTTAAAGGACTTCTCACAATCAATGCAGCAGAGATCAACTTACTGAGGCAGACGAAACAGTGAGTCAGCAATGACCAATCAAAAAGTCTCTTTGATTTGTACAAGCTGGCTCAACGATGCGGCTTGTTAGTCCGCATGAGCAAAATAAATTATTATATTTCATTTGTTTTGGTCATTTAAGAACTGAGTCAAACAAACGGACGCCTCGAATAACCAAATCTGCTGGGTGGAAATGTAGTCCGGTGATATCTGCTGATATGTTTATGACACCATGACAAACATCCCGCCGCTCGCAGTAACAGAATTGCCAGACTGATTTTAGAAAGACAACCGTTTGCAAAATAGTGATAAATTTCCACAATCAAAACGCAATAATGTCAATGCTTGCTTGCAGGACTAAAATAAAAATAAATAAATAGAAATAAGAAGTGAAAAAAAGTTAAAAAGATGCACTTCAAATTAGGTACCTCCACAGAAACGATACCTAAGGTTTAAAATTAGTTTTTAAAAGATGAAAAATCTTCCTAAAAGCTTTTATTTTAGTGTTAATTTCAAGCTAATTAAATTATTTTTTTCAACTTATTACTTAAACGTTATATTTAATGGCTACCCATATTTGAGTAGATGCATTGTTTTTATTTATTTATCAAACGATATATTTATTTATTTACATCTCTGTGTCCATCCTTCAAATCTACAAATCAACCATTCCCCCTTGCATGGAATACTTCTACCATATATGGTCTGGTGCCCCCGCTGTTCGTCTTAAGGTCCTCAACAAAGTCCAGAGACGGATTTGCAATGTGATTGGCTCTGATCTGACAACTCGTTTACGGTCATTTTCTTACAGACATGTCGCTTCGCTCTGTCTTTTCTACAAATACTTTCATGGTAACTGCTCCGACGAGCTACTTTCGCTGGTTCCCAAACTGCATGAATTTAAGCGTGCTACTAGGTTGGCATCTCAGTCCCACTCTTTAAGTGTCGAAACCGTCAAATGTAGCCGTCTCTTCTACGCCAATAGCTTCATGCCTCGCACTTCCCGTCTGTGGAAATCCCTTCCTTTACTTGCTTCCCGATAGCTATAATCTTCAAATATTCAAATGCAATGTCAGTCGACATCTCCAGATGCCTTGATCTATTCCCCATCCTTCTCTTCATCCTTTCTTCTATCACGCCTCTTTACTCTTGCTCCCACTCTCTGTAATCCCTTGCGGGCTAGTGGCACTCCCGTTTTGCTTGGGGTGAAATGCTTAAAAAATAACTACCGGCCTGAATATTTGAGAAATCATATTAGAAAAATGGCACTTTCTGGCATAATAAATAAACAAAGAGCATCTACTCAAATATAGGTACCCATTAAAATAACGTTTAAGCAACAGATTAAAATATATATCGGATTAATAATTGAAAAATTAATTCCATTAAATAGAATATTTTTGATCAGAAAAATACTTTGCTGCATTTCAAAACTAATCTACTAAATGACTGGAAGGAGTTTTCATTCTGAAATGTATAACATCGCTGATTTAGCGCCATTTTAGCCATCCGTCATCACGCTATGATTCTCTTTATAAAAACACTAGCAGTAGAGCCCGGCGTTGCCCGGGGATGTAACAGTAAGAGATAGATCAAGTATCGACCATCATAAAGACTGAAAAATAAAATTGACAAAGATTATTGTTTAAGGTTGACGGACACGCATGTCTTAATTAGTTTGTTTTTTGGTTTTGTTTTTTTGTTTTTTAAGAATTGGTCAAACCCAAACTCAAACAAAAACATTCTTTTTAATCGTTTAAGTTTTGTTGAAATCGGTTGAAAAATGTAGGAAATCCGATCCCATATATAAACGTACAGACACACACACACACACACACACACACACACACACACACACACACAACATGGGCTTTATAATGAGTATAACTCGATATGAGTTGTCCTCTTTTCATTCAGGCGACAGTTATGTCTCTTAATCGTGTTTTCAAATTGATTTTGTGCAAAAACAATTGCGTTTTTCCAATTTTTGGCGCTGTCAGAACCACCACAAGGTAATTTTATGTAGTTCTGTGAAGTCTTGTTGAAATCGGTTGAAAAATGTAAGAAATCCTATCTCATATATAAACGTACACACACACACACACACACACACACACACACAAACCTGGGTTTTATAATAAGTATAACTCGATATGAGTTGTCCCCCTTTCATTCTGGCGACAGTGATGCCTCTTAATCGTGTTTTCAAACTGACACTCAAGTTTATATATATTTTTTTTCTACGGTGGATATATCTGTAAAAATTACTTGAGAAATATAACCTGAGCACTAGCAATCTTAAAAATTTAGGAAAATAACTCCATAATCTAATGTTTTATTGAACTTTAGGTAATTTGGCTTTAAAATATGGCTTTAAATTTACTATGGGTATCACTCTTATTTTCTGATAATGTCATGTATGGACGTTCGTATTTACAAAAATTAGCATGTTTATGCACAGAAATTTTTTTTTCATTTTAAAAAAATATTAGCGGTTGATAAATCGTAGTAAGCTTTGCCATTTATGATTATTAAATATAACTTTTACTTAATAATAATATCACATAAAGGCAAGAAGCAAAACAGAAATTTAAAAGATCTAAAACTTTATAAATTATTCTAATTAAATTTTTTAAAAAATGAAAACAATTCTTGTAAAAAATTCATTATTTATCGAAAAAAAATTTCTTAAGATAATAGTGTCTATGAAATATTTTATCCATAAAAGCAATTAAAAGCTTTTCTAATTAAATAATACTTATTTTATTTTCTATTTTACGATTCAGATCAGATTTTCGGTAACTAAAGGTCCATTTTCACAAAAAAAAAAATTGATGATTTAAATTCTCCAATGAGGTCTGCGTATCACTAAAATAAACTTTAAACGATACAAAAATGAATTTCTCGAAATTTCTTAAAATTACATAAGTGGAGGAAAACAGATGTAAAAAAAAAATTCTTATCAAGACTTTTTAAAAAGAGAAATTTTAAAAATAATTTCATTCAGTTGTGAATAAGTCCTGAAAGTTTCATTAAAATCCAACAATTATTTGATTTTTGCAAGAATTTCAAAATCTGTTTTTCATTGCAAAAAATGACGCTCAAATTTCCTATACTAATCTTTGTCCCTGCTGACGCAAAAAAACAAACTTTTAACTAAAATATCGGACGTTTTAAAAAGTATCAAAAATATAATTAAATAATCTTTCCTCTTAATAATAACATAACAATTTTGACGATAATAATTTGTATTAAGTTTGGGACATTTTTCATCATGGTAATTCATAAGCAAATCACTGGAGGTACCTACTTACAATTCAATTTTGTTAGAGCGATAAACAGAGCAAGAAAAAAATTATAACAAAAAGAAATTATTACCCCAATAAAAATATTACCGTAAAATGGTAATATCGATATACAACACGATTAACAAAAAAGACAGCTAAGCCGGTTTATCAGTCCCCTCTCATCAAAGCAAAGCCGGTTTATCGGTCATCTCTCATCAGAGCAAAGCAGGTTTATTGATCATCTCTCTTAGAGGCTAAGATCGAGGACGAAAATGTGCCCAACGAATAAAAATGAAAACCCAAGACAAATGTCATATGAAAGAGAATATAACATTTACCGGTTAATTAACTTTAATCCCACCAATCATCACTTCTACTTAGAGAGAGATGGCTGACAGGACTTAATGTAAACAGATTCCAACACTTTCAAATGAAACTAGGAATTAACCTTCCTCAGTACTAAGAGTATGTCCCGGCTATAACACCGGGCACATTGCTGGGTTTTTTTTATCAAAGGTTCAGCTATCATCGAACGTGTTGTATTCAGGCTTACGGCCAAATTACGTTGAAACATTGGTTCCCGTACGAAAGTTAAGCAACGTCAAGCCTGGTCAGTACCTAGATGGGTGACTGCTTGGGAATACCAGGTACTGCAATTTTCGAGGTGCAGGTGGTGTAACGGATAATGGCTCAGAATTGTTAATCGGTGGTCCGAGTTCCAATTCTCATCAAATTCGTTATGTTCACGTATGCGCAAATATTCTTGGGAAAAGGCATGAACCCACTTCTCTCTCAACTATGGGTTAATTAGTAAAACTTGTATCAATACATCATTAATATCACCAAAAAAATTTTACGATCTAAAAAATTCTAGGAAGATTTGAAATAACCAGCAAAAGTTTGATAAGTCCTAAAAAAACAAAATCAATCAACCCATTTCGTTCAGCCGCTGCTGTTGTGAATGATTCCGTGACGTCACACACATTTTAACACATAATAAAAGATGTTTTTTTTTATTGATTTCAAATGTTATTACCTTGGTGAAATTTCCGGGTTTTGAAAACGAGACTCATAAATTCTACTAGACCACCCGTTGAGTCAATGACGGTTCAGCTTATAAAACATTAAAGTTGATTTCAACATTCCATTGAAATAAAAGTTAATTTTATTATGATTCAGTTGAATATTTCAATTCGTTCGTGTCATCATTGGTCAGTTCTTGTTTAACGTTTAACTGATTGTTTACAGCATTTAATAGAAATAGAACTTCCGGGATAAACTTGAACTTTAAATCAGATTAACTTTAAAATATTTGTTAATATGCCAAAAATATTTTAAAATCATATTCACTTGAAAATATTTTTAAATATGCCAAAAATATTTTTTAAATATTTAAAATATTGTTTGTTTAAAGAAAGCTGAAATATAAATAATTACTTTGTAAACGACTGGACAAAACGGCAAAGCGGGATCTCTTTGCGTCTGTCTTTAACTTAAACATATTTTAATAAAAAAAAATGTTTGCTTGAAGAAAACTAAAATAAAAATACTTACTGTATAAACAACGCATATTTTTTAAATCTCATTCACTTAAAACAGATTAACTTAAATCATTATGTGCCGGACGGACAAACTCGACGGTAATTCGAACACAGTACTCCGATTTCTCCGAGCTGTTATTTATTACATCACTAGAACAGTAAATATAATAATAATACTAGTTGGATGGTACATCATATTATTAAGACTGTATTCGTGTTAGCGCACTTTAATTCCAACCACCTGAAGAAGGCCGGAGCGTATAACGGCCGAAACATGATAAATATGGTTAAAATATTGTTTGTTTAAAGAAAGCTGAAATATAAATAATTACTCTACAAACAAGCGGACGAAGCAGTAAAGCTGAAATATAAATAATTACTTTGTAAACAACTGAACGAAACAGCAAAGCGGGATCTCTTTGTGTCTGTCTTTAACTTAAAAATATTTTAATTAAAAAAAAATGTCTGTTTGAAGAAAGTGAAAATAAAAATACTTACTCTATAAACACCTCGTATTTTAAATCTTATTCATTTTTTTTAAATCATATTCAATTAAAAATATTTTTTAAAATATGCCAAAATATATTTTTTATATCTTTTGTTTAAAGAAAGCTGAAATATAAATAATTACTCTACAAACAACGAGGTTATGCTAAGGTGATATACAAAGACATCTCACTGCAGTGTAAAGGTTATCACGATAATCTCACTAATAATTATATAATGTTCTTTTCTCAATGGATGGCACCCAATTATAAACTAATCTTATTTAATATCTATACGTCAGGAATGTCAGGCGTGTTTTATTTCATAAAATTCCTCTGAGACAAATCGATAACAATATTTTATGTCGTTTTTTGTTTGTTTTGTTTTTTTTACTATATTCGACGTAGCTTAACTGATAAAGAAGTCACAATGAGAATATTGCATTTACTTATCTTTGTGAAATACGAAGGGAACGAGCGTGGTTCGCTAAAACAATGTGCGTGGCCTGAGGGGACTTAGCCGTGGAGGTTAGAACTGACGAAACTAAACAACGTAGTTAGTCTGAACACTTTCCATGGAATTAGCAATAGAGCAGCATGAGGCTTGTGACTTATCGTCTCTGGGGAAAGAAGTTGTAGGGTGGGAAAATAATTCGTCATTCACAAAGACGAGGATACGCTTTTAAAGGATTATTTGGTATAGTTCTTTCTTTTTGATTCTGTAGCGCAATAGTCGACGTTTCCGACTGTGGGAAAGAGGTTGTAGGATGGGAAACAATTCGCCATCCACAAAGACACGTGAACGCTTTCAGACTCAATCGAGAAAGGAAAGACTGAAAGTATCCTGCCCATATATGTCAACAGTACTCCATTTTCGGTTTGATCTGGCTCTTGTAAAGGTAGAGAATAGCCGAAGGAGTCAGGTACTTACTGGAGCGGTTCAGGGAACCGATCATTTTTCCATCATCTTTGGAGATGGATCGTATGGACGAGTTCCACTTAAGATCCTAATATTGCATTTACTTATCTTTAGAACTTGTCTCTTGCTTATATATACGCATATACACTGAGGGAAGGTAAGAGTGCAACCATATTGGCTGGTATGTTTCCATTCACGCAACAACATTAAACGTGCAGGTAACATAACATGTCCTACAGTTGTCGGCGACTTTACCTGGTATCCAAGAATATAATTTCTAAGATAGATAAATATGAAAAGGCAACTTCAGGCAAAATATGAACATAGATAGATAGATAGATAGATAGATAGATAGATAGATAGATAGATAGATAGATATGAAAAAGCAACTTTAAACAGATATGAACATAGATAGATATAAAAAGGCAACTTTAAACAGATATGAACATAGATAGATATAAAAAGGCACCTTCAGACAGCTATGAACAGAGATAGATAGATAGATAGATAGATAGATAGATAGATAGATAGATATAAAAAGGCAACTTCAGACAGCTATGAACATAGATAGATATGAAAAAGCAACTTTAAACAGATATGAACATAGATAGATAGATAGATAGATAGATAGATAGATAGATAGATATGAAAAGGCAACTTTAAACAGATATGAACATACATAGATATGAAAAGGCAACTTTAAACAGATATGAACATAGATAGATAGATAGATAGATAGATAGATAGATAGATATAAAAAGACAACTTCAGACAGCTACGAACATTTTTCGGTCTGCCCTGGCTTTTGTAACGGTAGAGGATAGCAGGAGGGACCAGGTACTTACTGGAGCTCTACAGGGAATCGACCATTTTTTCCTGCATCTTTGATGATAAATCTACTTGTGGTCTGGGTTGAATTTGTCACAATAGTCACTCAAGGCACGCGATCTCCCCGAGGAAACATCTGTTCATCGTAATCGGTGAAAATTCTATGTCCGATCGGTGATGGTGAAATGTCACTAGTTTGGCTTTCGAGGAATTGAATGTGACCAACCAGTTTTTCCCAGGTCTGAGGAGAGATCAACTGCCAAGCTCTGTTCCCCTAGAGTTTTGTTGGTGCACCCATGTACCGTAGATCATTCATGTAAAGTAGAAAGATGGTTGGGCCAAGAACCAACTTTAAACACATATGAACATAGATAGATATAAAAAGGCAACTTTAAACAGATATGAACATAGATAGATAGATAGATAGATAGATAGATAGATAGATAGATAGATAGGGGGACGCCCGCGTTGATCGCTTGAGCCTCGGGGGACTGGACGTTAACAACCACCTTCATGAACCTACTATCGTTAGGAAGGACTAATTGAGAAGACTTTTCCAGTAATTCCATAGCTAGAGAACTTATGCAGTAACCCTTTAAGTCACACCTTGTAAACGGCCTTTGAAATAGCTAATGCGATCGTCCTTAAGATGTATTTCTTGCGCTTTGCCTCGCTGATTCTTTGAGTAATGGGAGTTAGGACATCAGCAGAGGATCGTACCGATCGAAACTAGTACTATTTGTCACTCAAGAGTTTGTTTTTATTGAGGTGATCAATAACTCTCTTGTTGATTATAGATTTAAAAAAGTTTGTTGACACTGAGGCGGTTGATGGGTCTATACTGTGACGGGGATGAGCGCTCACCTGCATTCTTGAAAACAGGGCATACACTTTACACCTTACACAGATTTGGGAAGGATTTCTATTTAAGAAATTGAAAAATTTACGAGAGGGAGTCGAAAATTTCTACCTTCAGATCGCCTTCAGGTTCCCAGCTTAAATTCCTGGTCCCGCAAGAATAGTGAGCACTGCGGATACAAACCCGAATTATTACCAATTATTCCAAAGACACAGCCGTATCCAGCTATTAAAGATCAAGGCCAAAGACACCCTTCATCCAACTACAACAGCATTACGGGAAGGCTCCTTTCGAAGTGACGGTATCGTTAGGATCTTATTACTGGAGATATATTCTCGGTAATACTCCTGCATGCCAGCGAAATGTTGGGTATCTTTCTTGTTGAGCCCAGCAGAGGCCCAAAGCGACGTGTTCTGATCCGAGTTGGTTACCTTTTTGGGAGGCAACTGGTCTGGGTAGGTAGCCTCTTTGGGAGGTGGTGTTTCCTTGGTAATATCAACGGTAATTTCCTCGGTAATAAATATATCATAGGTGTAATATTAGATCCCGTGTAAAAACGCGGTATTTTGGTGCATGTTCGAACCGAATGACGAAGGATGAGTTTTTATGGTTGTTGTAACTTAGGAAAAGGTTACTAAATAAGAATAATCAAAACGAAGGCCGGAAATGGAACGATAATATTTATAGCAAGAACAACATACAAAATTCGCCAGCAGCGTGAAGTAAGTAATACTCGTGTTGAGCTAGAAGTGAATCAAGGTGCATCGCAAGTGAAATTCCACAGTGAGATATTCACTAACCGCCCCATGCGGTCGGACGTGGCACAAGGCCGAGTTTATCGTGGAGTATATTGCCCGTAGACTTGGGCAAAAATTCACCGTAGACCCCGTAAAAAAACGGAGTCGGGTAGCTGTCTACCACCCAGACGAGACTCTGCCCTTCAGACTTGTTTAATCCATAGCCCACTCATCAGATTCATGGTTTGAATAATTAACTAAAAACATGCATACAATATAACACTCTTCATAATCCATAGCCGAAATAAATAGTTTAAATACCTAAAAAAGATAACCCTTTATGAAGTCGTCAAAAAACAAACGTTACGACAGTTTTTGTTTTTTTTTTTTTTTTTTATAAATCCCTTTCATAAAAAAATAAATAAATCTCCATAGACATGCAAACTAGACGAGGGTTAATACATCTTCCGTTTCAAATTTAGACACCCCCACCTTTCACTGACTTGACATCTACGAAAGTAACTCTATACTGATACTTATTATTAACACCCAACACCCGCCTACCATGGAAATTTTGATTTCAATTTTTAAAACACGTAAATTTCAGAAACACGTTATTCCAAAAAAAAAATTCGCTTGAAGATGGAACAGAGCTTATTTTAACTCAATTTAATTTAAATAATTATATTGAAGTTTTCGGCTCTTGTTTTGAAACATGGGACTTCTTATGTCACGATTTGGAATCATATTTTTAAATAAATAATTATATATATATATATATATATATATATATATATATATGTACATATATACTTACCTGGCACAGGGTTCTGTCCATGTGCTGGTGGTATCACGGCTACGACTAGCTTGGACCGGCTCTGACCAGCTATGACAAGCCAAGACTAGCTATGACTAGCTTAGACCAGCTTAGACCAGCGGCCCGAGTGAAAACACTCGGGTCCCCACGCTAAAAACTAACCTTGTGTTACAACCTGACTCAGTGGTGGGGTCAAGTAAATATCCATATATATATATATGTACATATATATATATATATGTGTGTGTGTGTGTGTGTGTAAAAAGTCTTACATTATAGCATTTTTAATTTTATTGTTATTTCTTCTATATCCTTTCAAAGATTTTGTCTCTAATTCTGTTAGAAAATTTTGAAAAATGAATAGGTATGATGACATAAAAGCCACAATATCTTTATTCTTGGATATAAACCAGTTATAATGCGATAGGCCTACTCAAGTTAGGCTTTGAGATTTGTAGACCATAATCACTTAAAGAGGAGTGGAATCGGAGTCAGAGGTGCCAAAAATAGAGGAGTCGGCTCTACAGCCCTGAACACGTATATGCTTGGTAGAAAAGTACAAACCATTTTTATATACATAAGAAAGCAGCTTTAGACAGTGCCATCAATATGTTTTAAAGGGAGTGGATGTATCGTCATATGCATGTTGTCGGAGGTAAGTAGGTACAGATGATTATTCATTCGCTTCCGGGAGATATGAGTTGGATAAGCGACTACAAGACAATCCTATGATATAGAATCTATGTCAACAAGACTCGTGCCGAGTTCACGGATGAGAACTCCTTCTTCTCTTTCTTCTTCGTGGTCGTATTACAATACTTATGAATAAATCTCGTTTCAATTTGTGTCCCAGTAAATTATTAATAGTAAAAATCTGAGGATGAAAATAAGATTTCTAAACTTATGAGAATGCATGCTGAGAAATGAAATGGATGAACAGTTCTTACTAGAGATATGCATAGAAAATCAAGAAGAAAGGATTGTCGATGGTTAGAAATGAATAAGAGGTTTACTGACAAAACAGAAATATTATATGCATTTGCCTTAACCCGTGAAAAATTCCTGGTTTTTCTATTTTGATATTCTGATGAATCTTAATTCTAAAGTTAATGACTGAGTAAACTCATAGGGAGTTCTTTAACAATAAAATATGCATAGAACTGCCCTTATCACATCGTTAAATATTTGAGCTCAACAGATTTAACAAAATATTGCAATAACAATCATAAATATGAATGCTGGTTGTTATTTTAAGAAGTGGGTACAAATGAAAAGATTTACAATTGACAACTTTTCCATTTCACTGAAACAATCGTTAAACACTTCTATCTTCCTTTATTTCATTTTCTTGCTGAAACCAAGTACTGTCTTTTCCCTTCTTTCCACGCGATCAAAACGTAATATGGCCGTTATTTATGAAGAATTGGCAGGAAACGTTAAACACTTCTATTTTTCTTTCATTTTCTCGCTGAAACCAAATAGAGTCTTTTCCCCTCTTTACACGTAATCAAAACGGAATAGTCCATTGTTTATGAGGAATTGGCAGGAAACGTTAAACACTTCTATATACCCTATATGGAGATTGGGTAGCTCCTGTCTAAATATGGCAGCAGTCCACCATTTCAGACCTGATCTGACTCTTGTAAAGGTTGAGGATAGCACGAAGTGTCAGGTTCTTACTGGAGCAGTATAGGGAACCGACCATTTTTCCTGTATCTTTAGCAATGGCTCGTAAATACGTGTTTCACTTGAGGCTTGGTTTAAGGCCAAATAATCCCTCAAGGAACGGAGCCTTCCCGAGGGGATATCCACTCACCGTGACTAGTGGTAGTTCAGGGTCAGATTGGCGATGATGGAATGTAACTAGTTTGGTTCTCGAGCCATTGAATGTAACCAGCCAGTTTTACCTCCACTGAAATGTTTGAGCTAGATTGGAGGATCAGTCAGCTGCCAATTTCTGGTCGTCAAGAATATTCGAGCTGCACCCATACAACGTTTTATCATCAGTACAGATATTCACAGATGATCGGAGTAGACTCTGAGGCAGATCATTAAAATAAAAAGAGGTTTGGTCCGAGAAGCGACCCCCTAGGGGATGCCTGCGTTGATAAGGCTATTAAATGTATAATTTAAATGCATTGCTAAAAATTTGGCAATAGACAAGCATTTTCAGTGGTCAAGCATCAAGTTAAACATTATTGATAGAATAAAGTATTATATGTGACTTTTTCACATCTGCAAAGAATCCTAGTCATTTAACAAACAGTAAGGCAAATATTGATAACCAATTAATTTCACTCTAAACATTAACTGGCCTTGGTTTGTAAACATACAACGAGGCCCCCTCTCAGATTTTCTACGAAATGAAACTCCACGTGATGTCTCTGTTCTCGTTTGCCTTGGTGTGAACAAAAGCTGGGAAGGTACCGCTGCACGCTCACAAAAAAAAACAAAAAACAAACAAACAAAAAAAAAACAAAAACAAAGAAAATCAAAAGGTGAAAATAAATGCCACACTCGGACCATGTTTCCAAGATATTCCGTTGTTTATTTTAGGGATTCTCTTGCACGATCTGGGTAGGTAGGTAGGTAGGTAGGTAGGTAGGTAGGTAGGTGACCCTTGAGGAAAATTTTTCTCACTTCTGACATAGACCAGATCAGCTGACTTTCTTCTCTCTCTCTCTCTCTCTCTCTCTCTCTCTCTCTCTCTCTCGACGGGCAGCGTACACCTGGTAAATGGCCATTCGACACTATTTTAATCTTAACTGAGACTATTAATATAACCCTGCGACCGGAAATCTTCAACGTCTGGTTTGTTGTCACTTATTCCCAAAATTTTTCATTTCTTTATTATTTTATTATCTTTTGGTCAAATGGGTAGCTGCTTTTAAAGACCCTATTTCGCAGACTTTATTGATAGTTATAAAACACAAAATCTTTAAGACAAGGATAAAATTACACGCCATTTCCTATTTGGGCGTCTCAGCCTTAGTGCCACAGATGACCATAATCATAAAAGACTTAAACCTATATTATTGACGAGGCAGTTGCATATTTCTCAATACAGATGAAATCCATTTTTTAATCATTTTACCCCAAGCA